GAGCGAGGCAGGGCTTCCCCCGCCGGACGTGGCATCACGCCGGGCCGCGCCAATCCCGCGCGGGGCGCTGCCCCGCCCCGGGCCCGCGCTCCGCCCCGCGCCACCGCCCCGCGCCCCCGCCGCAGGCACGGCGCCGCCGCCCGCCCGACCCGGAGCGCGGCCGGCCCTGGGAGCGGCCCGCGGGCGAGGAGCTGCTCTGCTCCGCCCGGCTCCCGAATGCGGCGTCTCGGCCGCGGGGCGAGCGGGCAGCGCCGGCGGCGCCCGGTGAGCGGGTGGTCCGCTCTGCCCTTCGGGAAGGACGTCCTGAAAGCGGGCGGTGAGCCCCCGTCTGCCTGAGCCGCGGTCCGGCTCTTAACCCGCGAGGCTCCGATTTCCCCCGGATGTGGTGGGAAAACGCTGAAAGACGAATCGTGAACCGCTTTGCCTGATCGTTGCGGGGAAAACGTCTTAACTGGGAGCCCGGGAGTCCCAGCAGAGACCTGGGAGGTGCGAAGTGCCCCTTCAGGACAAGAGAGGGGATTTTCAGCTGCTGGCTCTGCTTTTGGGTTTTCTTCCTACAGCAGCATACCCAGTCCTGAACCTGGCACTCCACCGAGATGGGGCGTCTGCCAGCACCGAGTGAAGAGTAATGCTCCAGCTCTCCCACAGAGGAGTTTTTGGCCGGTATCTAACACATCTAACACATCAAACAGGTGGAGAACCCAAAGATCAGTTGTCTTAGGGCAGGTTTTTCTATGGAAAAAGGACAGGGAATCTACCGGCACCTCAGTTTAAGCACTTGTGGGAGTTTACACGTTAACAGATATCCAAAAGCGCACATTGAAAAACTGCCTTTGCCATGGGCACCAAAATTCCTTAACAAGAATAGATTGGGGCAAATTGCTCAGACCTGAACCTGTAGGAAGGCTTTGCTTCTTTGCCAGTTTGCTTCTTCAGAACTGCTCGCTCTCAGGGAAACGATTAAGAAAGAAGTGACACAAATTAACAGCTCCAGGGAGGGGAAAGATGGCAGTTGGGAAGGGGAAAGTCATTGCTTTCCTACGAAATCACCTAATGATTTCCTAGGAAATCTCCCTAACTAAAATCATCTGTGAAATACAGCATAGGGAATTAATAGATCCTCACTGTAAAGACAGGGAGGGTTTTGTAATGAAGGTCATGACTGGTGAGCCCTCACTGTGACCAGAAGTTAAAACCTGTGCATCGGTACAGCCCCTGCTGCTTCCCAGCTCTCAGTTCTTTCACAAACAGCACTGTGCTTTTAGGTTGTTGCTACATCTCTCTGATGCACACAGTTTAGAAACCCTAGGCTTGAAGCTACCCAAAGTTTGGTGCTCCTGAGCTGGAAGCTTGCTTTGTGGACTTTCTGGAGCATGGAAATAACATGCCGTGGATAATATAAAGTCCAACCCACTCTGTCTTTAAAAAGGATCTTGACTGTAAGCAGAGGAGTGCAGCCCATATGCCAAGTTAGCAAGTACAATGTACACAAGGTCACACAAGGTTACTTCAGCTCTTACTCCTATGTATCTGCTCTAATTTAGTAGCAGGAGGTACGTGGCAGGTCAGGTTGGTGGCTGGAGTTGATGATTTTGAGGGTTTTTTCCAACAACGATGATTCCACGGTCTGTAGCTCTTTCCCCATCCCAGGCCTCAACACAGCGCTTGGAGACCTATGGCAACCCAGCTACAGCAGTGGCAGAATGCAAGCACCAGAGGAACCCATATGGGAATCTGTATTGCCAGGACTATGGAACACCAGGATTGTGGTTCCTCCTCATGGTGCTGAAGCACATCTGTTTGTTTCACTGATTATGTTTGTATGCATACCCAGGATTGTGGCTATGTACATTTAAAAAAAACGCTGAAACAAACATCTTCAAAGTGTCACGATGAAAATATGGTTTTGGCATGTGTTATAAATCGTGTGGTTTTTTGAGGACCAGATCTACTTTGGGAAGACTCGCTTAAAGGAGCTTGGCACAAAGCGTACAGGAGATTATCTAAGGACTGGCAGGAGGAGCTACAACTGGGGTAGAAAAGAAAGAGTGAAGTAAGACACAAGATGAGTAGACAAAATGCAGAGGAGGAGGATAGCACATGGCTGGCCAGCAAGAGTCAGGAAGACAGAAAATCCATCCTGCTGTGGAGATTGCCTCTTAACAGTCACAAGAAAAAAATAAAGTCCACTGAAAAGCTGATCCAAGCATTATGAAGAGACAAGAATGATGAAGAGCCAAATCATCTGGCACAAGTGTGGAAAGCTACAGTTTAAAAAACAATACGACCAAATAGAGGCTTCCTACAACCCCAACTTTCACAGGATGTTTTCTATTCCTCTACAACTTTCCAAAAGTTCTGTATTTCAGTGGACGTACCTCTGTTTTTCATACTGAAGCAAATTAAGAATTGTTCATGCAGCAAAGTATGTAGAACCAGATCTCCAGCTGGTTCTAAAATGGACCTGTACTGAGGCATAGCAACCTAGAGTCTCGGAGCAAAACCAGAGCAGCAAAAAAACCCGGATATCTTATCAAATTGTATTGTGCCTTCAATGCCACATTGAAAGAACAGAGCATCCCCATTTGAATTCACAGTGCACGAAGTACACTGCTGCAGAGTAGGGAGGAAGGAGGAAAAGGAGATGGGCAAGAAGAGGTGATCTGTAACCTCCTCCTCCTCCTCACTGATGTCATGTAATGAAATCTTCAGCACCTTTCCCTTAGTTTTACACTACGTCTCATTCTGCAGAAACATCAGAAAACCTGGCATCTTTAGATTATAAATCTTCATCAAAGTATGAGTATCTCAGTCACTTTTCTGCCGGTTTCTTTTCATCTCTGCTGTATCTGTCTCCTACAGGAATTCATGAAAGCTCGTCCCCTGCCCTCCTCCCTCCCTCCCCAACACTGGCTGCTGTTCAGCAGAAGCTGGCCATGTGTTTTGCTCAGTCAAATCTAATTAAGTTATCCAGAGATTTTCTAGATAACGCTTTGCTATCTACAGCTGCTTACTTCTCCACTGGATCTTCCTTCATTAAGAACCCTCAGTTTCCCCACGACACGTACAGGCAGAATATCTTTTTGTTTTGGTCACTAAAAATATTGGATCAGCCCCTCAGAATTGCTGGGGCATCCACGGACGGCTGACAAATCCAGCTGGTTCTATGCAAGAAGTTGTTTGTCCTACAGAAATGCTAAGGCTTTTGGGGATTTGCGTGTCCAAATAACTCAATCAGGAATATCATTCAGTAGGTGTATGGAGCTGGGGATCTTTCCCAGGTCTCAGGGAAGCCAGACTCGGGTTCCAGATGACCACAAATCTGCTGCTGAGGAAGAGAGGGGCTGCGCTGAGGAAAAGTGCAGCAGTGCACAGCAGGCAGCCATCCTGCTGTTTGGTCCTTGAGCAGCATACACCTTCAAAATGCAGTGCTTATTCCTCGCTGTGTGGTTAGTACTTTTCAGAGGGAGATTAGGGACAACCGAATAATTTCAAACAGGTTATTTTGATAAGGCAGGGAATTGCCACCCCGTGCTGTATTTTGAGTTGAAGAACCCAATTTTACAGCAGTGACTGAAAGAAGCGCATTGTTTTAAAGATCTTTTACAAGTGACTTCACCCTTCAGCACTGTACTTTTGTTATATATGATGCAGAGATTTCCCAGTAATAAGAAGACTTAAAGTCCAAAAAATACAACATAAAAAATAAAAAAAATCCCACACCGCACCATAAACTCATTTGAGAACCTCTGCTAACTGAGCTTGCCTTAGGAAGTAGGTTTCATTCTTTCTGGATGTGACTTTCAACAACGCTCCCTAAATGTGTACAGCAGCAACTAAAGAATATGGGCAGGGCACTGAACCATGCCCATATTCTTTATGTTTTATGTTTGATAAGCAGAGCTTAGCTCAGTAATATGAAATAGTTCAAAATAGGCCTCCAAATTACTAGGGTATGTGATTTCAGCTGTGCCACTACAGTGATTTGTAGAAAATTTCTCCCCCTTCCTGCAGAAGCCACAATCAGAGGACTTCTTATCATTCAAGAGGTTATATCCAGAAACTGTCTGTTTTTGAAAAGGATTTATCAAAGATAAATCTCCCCTCATTCTCATCGTTATCGATCTGAGCAATGGCGTAAGCAGCCCGTAGAGCACTCTGTTCTTACAAACCCCAGTTCAAAAACATGGTGCTGAGCACTGGTCCGATGCACATGGAACTGGGACAGACATCCCATAGCTGTCAGTGAGAAAAAATGTTGCAGCCATTCAGAAAGAAATGTGCGGCGTTGCCATACGGGCATCTGGCGATGCTAATGTTACTTCTCAGCTAACACTTCATCCTCAGCTGTTGCTACATTAAACACTACAGACCAAAGTACTTAAGATGAATTAATACAACTATCTCAGGTTCTGCTCAAGAGCTTATTTTTTTCCTTCATATGGAGTTAGGTACAACATAACCTATTTTTAGAGAGAAATTGGCTATGAGGCAAATGACAGCACGGTGTTGGAAGGCACCAAATGCCTGTAGTTGTGAGCAGAACCTCTGACACTTCAGGCATTGCCCGCCTGTAAGAAATTAGCAGTGTTGGGCCAGAAGTGCAGGTGAATTAGGGTTGAACCCCAACTAGCTGGCAGGATAGCTAAGAGCAAATATTTGCAGTCTTCCACATGCTGAGGAGAGATTGAGTTTGAAAATTCATCCTTCCCATACATTTTTCTCTGTGCTGTGGGTTGGATAATTACTGGGT